ATTGCAATAAGACTACATTACTCTAATGAATGTTGTTGTAAATATGTTTATATATGTAAGTATCTACAAGTATATGTAGAAATTTTAGAGTGTATAAACATCAATGAATTTTATAATGACAAAACACACTCACTTATGAATATATATATGTACATATATGGGCATGTGTGTGTGTATTGGTAGTGCAGCTAAATTCTGCTAGGAAAGCAAAAGCAAGAAAGCTTTTTGTGGCGCACCAATGGGACCACGTTATGCCCCTCCAGCTACCATACCACATATACACATACAATCATACAGACTCCCAGACAGATTTAGACATTGAACCATTCAGCCAGCCAGCCATCTAGCCACGCAACTACATACATTTGCGTTTGAGTTAAAAAGTAATGTGAAGGAAAACAGTTCAGAGACAAAATATAAGAAAACATTTCGTACATGTTTTGAAATTTTAGATAATTTGAAAAAGGTACTAAAGTGTTAAATGGTACTTTTTATACAATAGTTGCTATATTAATTGCAGTCCATAAAACTAATAATAATGTAGGACTACAGGTGGTATGAGTGATGTTTTCTTACGTATACGTCTCGATGTGCGAAAACCATTTCAAAAATTATTTTCTTTTAACATAAATTAAGTGCCACTCAGAAAAATGAATCCTTCAAATAGTACCATACCATATTTTGTACAAAACAGAGAATCCTTTAGTTTAGTTTATGTACATGTGGTAGTATTTGGTACCGACCCACATATACAAACGCAAAAATATTGTGATGATTGTGTGATTGTATGTGGCTTTGTAAAGTATGTGAATTTTAGAGAGGATGTACATACGTACAAACACATGTGTGTATATTATTTTAAATATATATGTATGTGAGAGTGTTTAAGTAAAGAATTAGTAAATGTGTTCATATGAGTGAGATACATAAATTGTATGGCTGTATGTATAAGTTTGGCGGCTCCTCGTGTTTTTATTTGCAATAACAAATGTCTACAGACTTCTCTTCCAAATGTCAACGGCGTTGTTTTAGTTTAACTGTTCTACTCATTTTGTTTATGTGTTTGTTTATTTGAATGTGTACGTATGTGTGTATATAATCGAAGAAAACCCGACCCCAAAACTGACACCATCGTGGCTAACCCTTTATAGCACTAAGGTTTCCTTACAGAACCACATATTTAGGTTTTAGTGGGAGTGAAGCAAAGCCACTGCCATTGCAAACTTGGTCTCTTACATATACATACACGTAAACATAAATACGTGCAAACTCTCATACAAATGCCATCTGCTGAAATGCATAAGTAAATGTCTATGTATTGTTTTCATTTTCGGTATTTCACTCACATTTATGTGTGTGTAAGTGTATGAAGTCCTTAAGTGAGTGTATGTTTGTACTAAGAAATTGTATTTGTTCCTTTAATAGTAATTGTCTGTATATATTTTACCAATAGAAGGTAGCAGCTACATAAAACTATCGACCCACATTGGCCAAAATAATAGAAAAAAGCAAAATAAGTTATTGTATAAACGAAAAAAAGCTTAAACCAACAAAAAATTAAGAAAAATTGCTCCACAAATGACGACGTTGATTTAATTTTGGTTTCAAGTTTGAGGTTTTAAGTTTAAAATGAGAAATAAATGAAACTGAATTTAAAAAAAAAACTATATAAATTATTTTTTAGCACAAGAAAACAGATTTTTTAAGAGTGGTTGATTTGCTACAAACATTTCCCAAGATATTTTAAAGTTTCAATAAAAAAGCTCGATTCGCAGGTTTAGACATATTTTTGTTATGAGAGCTATTACTTCTTATCTATAATATAAAAAAATTAAAAAAGTTAGGGCTGATTTTGTTCAAACTTAATTAATTTACTCTTAATATCTATACTTTTAGAGGTTCCCACAACTGTTAGTTTCACTTTCATAACAAAGAACAAAAAAAATTAACTTTTTATAATTGCAAAACCTAATGATATAAAATTTGAGGTTCTCATTTTGCTTTCAAACATCCCAAAAAAGGACATTCGCAGTAGTAATATCAGTAACCGTACAAATTTGCTGCTGCAACACAAGAAGCAAGACTTAAAACTACTACAACAACTTAACCAAAAAAAAAAAGAAAACCTAGTGATTGCATGAGTGTGGTGGTCTATATACAACCAAATAATGGCGTCTTTTGGTGTAAACCAAGAATGGTTGGTTGGTTGGCTGACTGGTGGCTTAAAAGAAGAAGGAAAAAACGAAAAAGACATCCGTTTTTAAACAGTCTACAAATACAAGCATATTTTACATGCACAAACTCTCACACAAATATTCTTATACATCTTGCCGAGAGTCTGAATAAGTGTTATTAAAGTATGAGTGAGATGAAATGCATATGTACATAAAGAATTTATATACTACATATGTATGTATATATGAATATGTGTTAGTTTTAATAGTTGCAATAAGTGTTGTGTATATACCACATTTAGGTGAACATATGTATGTATATATATGTATTTATTTTTTTTTAGTTTAAAAAAAAATGTTTATGCTACCACACACCAGGCCATATGAGGAATAAGTTGGAGGTTTCTGAGTGGTTAGAGTAGTCTACATAGAGAAAAGCATAGAATGAGAACGATAACGAGAAGTATTTTAGTATGAGTAGTTTTTAGCTGCTTTAGATCTACTAGCTACATTTTTTAACCCTTAAACTTTATATTGTTTTAACAAAAGCGCAAAGCAATGAAAAACCAATAAGAGTTCTTTATTCGGTTACACCGAATGTTATATACCCCTCACTGAACTAGTTCAGTTCTGGTTTAGTTCTAGTTCAGTTCTAGTTCAGTTCTAGTTCAGTTCTAGTTCAGTTCTAGTTCAGTTCTAGTTCAGATCTAGTTCAGTTCTAGTTCAGTTCTAGTTCAGTTCTAGTTCAGTTCTAGTTCAGTTCTAGTTCAGTTCTAGTTCAGTTCTAGTTCAGTTCTAGTTCAGTTCTAGTTCAGTTCTAGTTCAGTTCTAGTTCAGTTCTAGTTCAGTTCTAGTTCAGTTCTAGTTCAGCTCTAGTTCAGTTCTAGTTCAGTTCTAGTTCAGTTCTAGTTCAGTTCTAGTTCAGTTCTAGTTCAGTTCTAGTTCAGTTCTAGTTCAGTTCTAGTTCAGTTCTAGTTCAGTTCTAGTTCAGTTCTAGTTCAGTTCTAGTTCAGTTCTAGTTCAGTTCTAGTTCAGTTCTAGTTCAGTTCTAGTTCAGTTCTAGTTCAGTTCTAGTTCAGTTCTAGTTCAGTTCTAGTTCAGTTCTAGTTCAGTTCTAGTTCAGTTCTAGTAGTTCAGTTCTAGTTCAGTTCTAGTTCAGTTCTAGTTAGTCTAGTTCAGTTCTAGTTCAGTTCTAGTTCAGTTCTAGTTCAGTTCTAGTCAGTTCTCGTTCCAGCTTCTAGTTCAGTTCTAGTTCAGTTCTAGTTCAGTTCTAGTTCAGTTCTAGTTCAGTTCTAGTTCAGTTCTAGTTCAGTTCTAGTTCAGTTCTAGTTCAGTTCTAGTTTCAGTTCTAGTTCAGTTCTAGTTCAGTTCTAGTTCAGTTCTAGTTCAGTTTAGTTCAGTTCTAGTCAGTTCTAGTTCAGTTCTAGGTTCAGTTCTAGTTCAGTTTCTAGTTCAGTTCTAGTTCAGTTCTAGTTCAGTTAGTCTAGTTCAGTTCTAGTTCAGTTCTAGTTCAGTTCTAGTTCAGTTCTAGTTCAGTTCTAGTTCAGTTCTAGGTTCAGTTCTTCTAGTTTAGTTCAGTTCTAGTTCAGTTCTAGTCAGTTCTAGTTCAGTTCTAGTTCAGTTCTAGTTCAGTTCTAGTTCAGTTCTAGTTCAGTTCTAGTTCAGTTCTAGTTCAGTTCTAGTTCAGTTCTAGTTCAGTTCTAGTTCAGTTCTAGTTTAGTTCTAGTTCAGTTCTAGTTCAGTTCTAGTTCAGTTCTAGTTCAGTTCTAGTTCAGTTCTAGTTCAGTTCTAGTTCAGTTCTACTTCAGTTCTAGTTCAGTTCTAGTTCAGTTCTAGTTCAGTTCTAGTTCAGTTCTAGTTCAGTTCTAGTTCAGTTCTAGTTCAGTTCTAGTTCAGTTCTAGTTCAGTTCTAGTTCAGTTCTAGTTCAGTTCTAGTTCAGTTCTAGTTCAGTTCTAGTTCAGTTCTAGTTCAGTTCTAGTTCAGTTCTAGTTCAGTTCTAGTTCAGTTCTAGTTCAGTTCTAGTTCAGTTCTAGTTCAGTTCTAGTTCAGTTCTAGTTCAGTTCTAGTTCAGTTCTAGTTCAGTTCTAGTTCAGTTCTAGTTCAGTTCTAGTTCAGTTCTAGTTCAGTTCTAGTTCAGTTCTAGTTCAGTTCTAGTTCAGTTCTAGTTCAGTTCTAGTTCAGTTCTAGTTCAGTTCTAGTTCAGTTCTAGTTCAGTTCTAGTTCAGTTCTAGTTCAGTTCTAGTTCAGTTCTAGTTCAGTTCTAGTTCAGTTCTAGTTCAGTTCTAGTTCAGTTCTAGTTCAGTTCTAGTTCAGTTCTAGTTCAGTTCTAGTTCAGTTCTAGTTCAGTTCTAGTTCAGTTCTAGTTCAGTTCTAGTTCAGTTCTAGTTCAGTTCTAGTTCAGTTCTAGTTCAGTTCAGATGTATTTCCGAACAGGCCCAATTATTTCGTAGTTGGTTAATAGTAGTTACCGTTAGAAACTTCTAATCATTAAAGGTTTAAAATTGATTTTAAGGAAAACAATTTTAAGGGAAATTTCTAACTCCCTGCTGCCACTTACGTACATTCCAGTTTAGTATGTATGTGGTATTATTTAAGTTTTAGTATTTAAAATTTGATGCATGTATGTGGTAATATACCGGTGGTAGAGAAACAACCAAAAATGAGCGGCCATATATTAGCCTCTGTGTGGCGTGTTTTTCCCCATTAAGTAAATATCGTGTTGCTTTAAGTTCTATCAAAAAACTTTTTGTAAAGTTATACATACAAACATTAGTACCTGAATAATTTATTTAAACAAATTTGTATTTTCTTTTATGTAATTTAAGGTTTCGCTCATCATTTAGTAGGCATGCATACACATTTACATGCACCAGATTGGAGGACATTGGGTGGCGGTCACGCTGCTGCTCTAGGACGACCAGGATTTTCTCACGGAGCGCCTTTCTTTCATCATCAACCAACTGCCTTTCCTGCACATATGGGCTCATTAGAGAGGCCAGGTTTAGGCAGATTAGGGGGTAGGCTTTAATGACACTTTGCTTTCTGTTAATAAATTATATACTTACAGTACTTTTTATTTTTTTTTTATTAAACAGAGACTCAGCACTTAAATCAATTGACACAGTTAACAGTACATGGTACCCCACACAGCACCACAAGTCCGGAGGGATCACCAACAACTACCACAGCTGGTTTGCAGCAAGCATCTTTAACCACTTCCCCGCCTTTGACAACAACCACAAGTGAGAATGATAATAACATAGATGCCGGATTTGAAAGTGATAGTATTTCGGTGACAGGGTCACCTAGAAAAACTTCTTCCATACATGAAGATGATGATCAGCGTAGTACCTCACCACCGGCATCGAATACGGGAAGTGGAGGAGCGTTTACTTCGTTAATACAACGCAGTCCAGCCTTAAGGAAAAACGAATTGTTTTCAGGTTTTGCTTCGAATTTTACTCCCACACACAATTTTAATCCCGCACTGGCAGCTCAATTATTTTTACAAAATCCCTTGCTACCACAACCTAGTCAGTGGCTGTATACTCAGTTGTATAGCAATTATCAGGAGTTTCCATGGTTTAGAAATAGCACGCCTGCACAAGCAAGTCAAGCGAATGTTTTAACGCCCTCGCTAGAACCAAGTACAGCTGCTACACCTTTGCTTCCTTCTTCACTAGCAACTGATTCCAGTCAGGGTGTGAATTTAATTAAAAGATGTGTCACTTTAATCTCACATTCTGAAGCTGATAACTCGAAACTGACTTCCTCCAGCACCCCGCCACCGGTAACATCAACACGAAGATCACCTTCGCCTGTCGAAACCATTGATTTGGATGATGTTAGTACTACCTCTAGATCAGCGAGTAGTACTTATGGACCCATACGCAGCCGTACTCCCAAACCTTCAGATGTTTGGCGACCCTACTAGCAACTGCGTAAAGCCATTGGTCAGGCTTTGGGTTTGAGTATATCTGAAACGAATACAGAGTTTAAGGAATCTGATGAAGAGGATTTTAATGTAGTATAAATGCAAAACGGGAATGTGTTATTCCCAGTGATAAAGGGTGTTTATATCTTTAAGTTTATTTTAAACTTTTGTAACTTTCTAGTCATTTGACAAAATAAAAGTATGACAGTTATTTGATATTTCCAATTGTTATGTTTTGATATAAAACACCTTCCAACTTTTAGGGCTAAAATGAAATTGTTGTGAATAATTTTTCCATATCTCTAATAAATTTAATTTTAGTAAAATGCATATTGATAACATACATTTTCTGTACAGGCTTTTGTTAATAAAGCATTATTCTTATTATTTTCTACATACATTTCAGTATTTATTAAATCAAATAATAAGTTTTATTATAAAACATTAAAAACATATCGAATTTAAACCAAAAATTTTGAATACAATTTGCAAAAAAGACATGTAGTAAAAAACTTTACAGGTTATTATGGAAAAAAATCTAAAAAATAACTGTGAAACATTTTTTTGTATAAATTAGGTTTATATTAAAATAAAATTGAAAATCAAAAATATTAATATTTAAATAAAGAAAATCTCAAAACATATTCTAATTATAAAATATTTGAAAAGACATCAAGTAACTTGTAAATTATTTTAGTTTTTAATAAATTATTGCAATTGTAATTTTTGGCAATAAATTCAATTTTAAATGTAGTTTTATGTAAATATTTAAGTAGTTATTAATTAATAAACATATTGTTAACTAATAATGTTCTGTTAACAAAACAAAATAATATAAAAATTATAACAAGAATAAGAAAAAGTATTAAAGAAATGAATTAAAAAAAAGTTAAATAAATTTAATAAAATGAAACAAGAAAAGGTTGCAAGCGATTTTTATTAAAGTTTTATAAAATATGCTGAGTTTTAAAGTTCAATAAATAGCAACTTTACAACAGAAATAGTTTAATGACATTGACTAATTAAACAAATTTTTGTAATTAAAGTTTTTGTCATTTTTATCTCCAAAAATGTCCTTATGAAAAAAGGGTGTTAAAACACTTGTTTGCCAGTAAAATAACACTAACACTTTCAACTTTTAAACACATACACAAAATGTAAATAAAATAAATGTACACATGTATGTAATCCTTGTTAATAATATGTAATATTTTAAATTTTGCTCTAGGTCCTGTTCTAGTTTCTATTTAAAATTTGTTTCCATACAAAAATTCACTTTTGGTGGACATAAAAATTTATCTAGCGTTGCAAATGCGCAAACAAATGATTTCAAATTAACTTGACTTATGAGTTGTAACAAATACAGACAGCTGTGTCCAAAATAGATAAAGTAAAAAGGATACAATACACTTAGGTAAACATAAACATAAACTCAAACACATTTATCCTTTCATACACATGTGTAGTTTTGTATACAAGTAATTTAAAATAAATTAAGGAAATTTTTGAGATTTTATATAAAAAAAGTACTTACATAATGTTTGTCATTCTTCTTTTTAATTTGTTGTTGTAGTAAAAAATTAAAATAATGAGCTGAAAGTTCTAAATAAATGAATTTAAGGAAAAAAGAAACCCTTAAACATCAAATAGATAAAAACAAAGAACTGATGATGTTATTTGTATCCTGATGCTGGTGACAACGCCTTGACTTGTTTGTCTGTCTATCTGTCTGTCACCAAGTTAACCAGGTTATTGTTGTTTTGTGTAAAATACTTTTGTTGGTTGTTTTTTTTTTTTGCTTTTGTGATTCTTTGATATGAGTTGTATATCCTCAAACAGGATATTAAAGATTTTTGGTACAATAACTAACCAAGCATGAGTAAAGAAAAAGTATTTCATTATGGCGTCAAAGACACCTTTTATTCTCATCTATTTATGGGCTGCATTTATTTGTATATGTGTACAAATGTATAAAATTAAATCCTTAACTTTTAGCTGTAGTAGTGAGTCGGTAAGGTGATTATTTAATTGGCTCTTACTTGTTTTCCTGTCAGAGATGCCTGCCTGTCTGTTTTGTTAGTTGTTTGTCTGGCTTATAAATAAAAATAAATAAGTAAAAATCTATGTATATGGGCGTTGGTGGTGGCTGGCGTGTGGTAAATATTTTTTCCAAGTCCTTATGGTCTGCTGATAATAATAAGTCAATCAACATCAGGTTGCTAACATCATATTGCCATAAATGTTGTTTAGTTACAAATAAATATAATTTAAGTAAAAAATTTAGTAAAGCTTCTGTTCTGTAATACCTGCAAAAACAGTAATGAGTATAAATATAGAAAAAGTTTTCTTTTTTTTATATAATTCGTAGAATTTTAAAGTTGTATTCCCTTTAATTGTTATATAATATTTAACATACTTTGTTAAGGGGAACACTTTTACTTTATACTGTTAATATGAAGTCATCAAGAATAATTATTCGTATCTATCGAAATATTTCAAGCATTTCATATGAAGCGTAAAATAGATTTTTTTCTCTGTTTTATCATCCTTAAACATTCTATATTTTGGAATAGATACAGTTAATACAATACTAATATTTTTTATGTTTCTTTAGGGGACTAATATTTTGCATCGGTACGAGTGGATATTATTGACTGTCAAACATTAACAGTTGTATTCATAAAAAATGCTTATTTTAGATTTAAATCACGCAATAGTTAAAGTACACTTTAGACTTAAAAGCCATTAATAAAATTGTGGTATTCATAAACAAATAATAAACCTACATTAACTATTGTGCTGTTTATTGATTAACTTGCAGCACTGTACAATTTGGCTGTCATTTTCTGTGTTAGTGTTGCGAACAATTAGGATAAAATATTCGTTGAGTCGGTTTTCTTAATTTTATATTTTTGGTTATAAAACATTTTTGAAAATAAGAACGAACTTTTAAGAAAAATAAGTGTATACATGGCTACGATAAATATATATTTAGTTCAGATGTATGAATATAACATATATATTTTTAATTATAATTAAAAGTATTCGAATAACGAATATTTTGTGACAAAATAAACATCACTATGCACATTTTGTTATTTCCGGCGGCGGGCATTTCCAAATTGCCAAAAATAGTATTGACCAACTGGAATACTGTCAAATATTCATCTATTAATCCAATAATGCCTAGATTTTAGTTTTTTCACCAAAATATAAACTTTTAAAATTTATCTGGAATTTTATTTAAAAATTTGTAAACGTTAAAATTACAATTTTCAGATTTCATTTCAGAATAAAACATGATTAGTTTTCGTCTTCAACCTAAAATTAATGAAAAAAGCTTAATCAGAGACAAAATTTGTAAGAATTCAAATTATTGTTGGCTTAAAGTAGGGTCGAGCGTACAATAAATTTTTTCTATTTGTCATTGGCTTATTGAAGGTATTTTAAGCTATTTGACGTTTACGAATACCATTTTCATGGATTTTGCTTAATAATGTTTTATAAACCTAAATTAATTTTTTATGAATACAACCGTAAGTATGTATGTACCTTATAAGTAAAGCAAATAAACATTTAAAAAATTGTTTCTTTGTTTCAAAATTAAAGTGTGTTACGTTACTCGTATGTTTCACAGCAGCAAGAGCACTCGTAACAAACCATCTCCATTCGATGGAGAATCTGATGGAATTTGTTAAACGAGTTAAATATTAAGATATTAACTGCGTTAGAACTAAACTAGAACTGAACTAGAACTGAACTAGAACTGAACTAGAACTGAACTAGAACTGAACTAGAACTGAACTAGAACTGAACTAGAACTGAACTAGAACTGAACTAGAACTGAACTAGAACTGAACTAGAACTGAACTAGAACTGAACTAGAACTGAACTAGAACAGAACTAGAACTGAACTAGAACTGAACTAGAACTGAACTAGAACTGAACTAGAACTGAACTAGAACTGAACTAGAACTGAACTAGAACTGAACTAGAACTGAACTAGAACTGAACTAGAACTGAACTAGAACTGAACTAGAACTGAACTAGAACTGAACTAGAACTGAACTAGAACTGAACTAGAACTGAACTAGAACTGAACTAGAACTGAACTAGAACTGAACTAGAACTGAACTAGAACTGAACTAGAACTGAACTAGAACTGAACTAGAACTAGAACTGAACTAGAACTGAACTAGAACTGAACTAGAACTGAACTAGAACTGAACTAGAACTGAACTAGAACTGAACTAGAACTGAACTAGAACTGAACTAGAACTGAACTAGAACTGAACTAGAACTGAACTAGAACTGAACTAGAACTGAACTAGAACTGAACTAGAACTGAACTAGAACTGAACTAGAACTGAACTAGAACTGAACTAGAACTGAACTAGAACTGAACTAGAACTGAACTAGAACTGAACTAGAACTGAACTAGAACTGAACTAGAACTGAACTAGAACTGAACTAGAACTGAACTAGAACTGAACTAGAACTGAACTAGAACTGAACTAGAACTGAACTAGAACTGAACTAGAACTGAACTAGAACTGAACTAGAACTGAACTAGAACTGAACTAGAACTGAACTAGAACTGAACTAGAACTGAACTAGAACTGAACTAGAACTGAACTAGAACTGAACTAGAACTGAACTAGAACTGAACTAGAACTGAACTAGAACTGAACTAGAAACTGAACTAGAACTGAACTAGAACTGAACTAGAACTGAACTAGAACTGAACTAGAACTGAACTAGAACTGAACTAGAACTGAACTAGAACTGAACTAGAACTGAACTAGAACTGAACTAGAACTGAACTAGAACTGAACTAGAACTGAACTAGAACTGAACTAGAACTGAACTAGAACTGAACTAGAACTGAACTAGAACTGAACTAGAACTGAACTAGAACTGAACTAGAACTGAACTAGAACTGAACTAGAACTGAACTAGAACTGAACTAGAACTGAACTAGAACTGAACTAGAACTGAACTAGAACTGAACTAGAACTGAACTAGAACTGAACTAGAACTGAACTAGAACTGAACTAGAACTGAACTAGAACTGAACTAGAACTGAACTAGAACTGAACTGAACTAGAACTGAACTAGAACTGAACTAGAACTGAACTAGAACTGAACTAGAACTGAACTAGAACTGAACTAGAACTGAACTAGAACTGAACTAGAACAGAACTAGAACTGAACTAGAACTGAAC